TGCAACTATTATTTTACGAAAAAGATAAAAAAAAAATCAAAAATCAAAAATTGAATAAGGTTCTTATGTGCAATGTCATTTTCATTCATTCAAAATCAAAACCACACAACTATACATTGAAGGTCATTACTCATGAGTGCGAGTATGGGAGATCAAATTTCACTGAAAGCATATATGAGAAAATTGTCCAAGAATACTTGAAAGTCAAGAATGGATATCTTGTACGCACTTAAAGATTATGATCTAATTGATAGATTAATTGTGCTACTCGCAATTTACTTCCGCACTGACTCTAGTGGCGGGGTCATGTGGGCTTAGAATTACTTCGACGAAACTGGGATCACTTAAGTTTTTTTTTTTTTTTTTTTTTTAATATGGAATAACATTGTTCCGTGTAAAATATGTTCATTTCTTTCAAAATATGTGTAGTTTTTGTTTTTGTTTTTTCTATAATGGCATGTTTGGTTCATGGAATAGGTCAGGAATGGAATAACATTCTTTGGAATAGACCTATTCCATCGTTTGGTTGGATCATTTTGCCATGGGAATAGCATGCCTAGGAATGAGCTATTACCTTCACATGGGGAATAGCCATTCCTAGGGGGGGCCTTGGTATTAGCTATTCCCATGCCCTTGGGAATAGCTTTTATATCACAAATACCAAAAATACCCTTTACACATTATATAATATTTATATTTATTTAATAAATATAGTGTATTATATAAATGTATATATTTAATTAATTATAATTTTTATAAGAAAAGAAAAGCAATTTCTCAAAACACCGACCGTGACAGTTTATTATATATATATATATATATATATATATATATATATATGTAAATAAAAAAAATTAACTGTATAAGACTCCTTAATTATGGAGCCTTGGCTCCTAATTAAGTAGTCTGCTCATCTGCATGCCTAGCGGATGGGCATTGCAAGCTTGCCTAGCGGATGAGCATTGCAATTGAAATTATGGAACCTTGAGGCTCCTTTTATAGGAGCCTCAAGGCTCCATTCCTTACTTCTCCAACCGATGTGGGATAAGTGAGAAAATAAATATAAAAATAAATATGTATTTGTATAATAATAATAATAATAATAATAATAATAATAATAATAATAATAATAATTATTATTATTATTATTATTATTATTATTATTATTGTTATTGTTATTGTTATTCTCTCTCTCTCACACACACACATACATATACATATATATAAATACAAATATAAATAAATAAATAAATAAATAAATAAATATATATATATATATATATATATATATATATATATATATATATATATATAACATTCAGTATATCATAATCATATTCATTATTATTATTATTATTATTATTATTATTGTTGTTGTTGTTGTTATTATTATTATTATTATTATTATTATTATGTATAAGGGTATTTATGTCTTTAAAACCTATTCCATTTCTATTCTATTAACCAACCAAACACTGAAATACAATTACTAAAGTCTATTCCTTCAGCCAACCAAACAACGGAATACAATTCATATTCTATTCCTTACCTATTCCATTCCATGTGGAATAACATTCCTATTCCCTCCAAATTCATTCCGTGAACCAAACGTGCTGTAAGAGTATAACTGTAGTATAACTTTTCTATTGATATCACTTTACAGTCAATAATAATTTGCTCCAAAAGAATTGGGGTTCGTTTACTAACAGAAAACTGTTATCTATTTTCTAATTTTTCAGTTTTCATTCTCTGTTTTCTGTTTAGAAAACTTGTTTACTAACAGAAAATTGTTCTCTGTTTTCTGCTTTTTAATTTTTCGGTTTTCACTTAAAATTGTTCTCAGTGGAGGCGTTATTGGTTCTTTGTGTTTCAGTAGGTTGAGAAAGTATATGAACGGATACTACATTGTAATAAAGCCAGTAGCAAAATAATATTAATATTTTTTGCGTAAATATTTAAAATGTGTGTGCCCTTTTTTTTTTTTTTTTTTTTTTTTTTTTTGATATATTCATTTGAATGACATGTATATGAATATATAACCTTTACTTTAAATTCTAATATATGTGAGATTTCAATATCCAATATATGGACCGAACTTGTATTATGATGTAACATAATTAAAAATATTCGAACTAATAATCTATTGAGTTCAATCAAAATCTAAAACATTATATAGAGTTTAATTCTTAATTTTGATAATGTAAACAATGTCTAACTTTAAAGTGTAAGCAAATAAATTATGTTTAAATAAGTAAAGTAAGTAGAAAAGATAGAAGATAGTGATAAGTAAAATAAGATGATAATGAATGTAATCATAGTAATGTGGTTATAGTGACATATACCTAAATAGATGATAGATGATTTTGTTTTCCATTTCGAAAACAGTTTTTAAGTGTGTTCCAGTTTTCCGAAAATTTTCAGAAATTATTTTCAGTTTTTAAAATGAAAAACTGTGTTACTAAACATGTTTTCTGTTTTCTATTTTACAGTTTCCGGAAATTTCTAAAAATTTCTAGTTAGTAAACGGCTCATTGCTTTCTAACAGTATAACATATAATAATTTGAACGTGTAACAACATAATTTTTTTTTTTTTTTTTTTTGTGGTCCTTTATCAACTATGATTACAAAATAAATTTCATTCACTGAGTATATTTTCAAATAGCAGTTGTAAATTTTCAGTAAATAAAGAAACTCCATTATATTACGTAGTACTCCGTATATATTAAACTTATACATCAACCGTTGCTGATTAGAATTATAATTTAAAAATTTTAAATAAACAATTAATCAAAATTAAATTGCATTATTTATTGGGACCACGAACCGAGGGAGGAGCGGACGCGGGACGGCCAAAACTAAATAAAAATAATTAATTAATCAAAAAAATAAAAAATTATAGGAAACAGCCAAAGGGGCAATTTCAATGGCTTTTGTTTCCGTAACTTGGGTATCTCTCCAACTTCGATATTCTGATTCCATCACACACTCAGAGCCTCAGAGGTCAGATAGCCGTCAGCTCGTCACGGCAAACTGGAAACTATTCTAAAAAAAAAAAATCTAAACTTAAATCATCAAATTTAATATTACTCCGTACAAAAGGTTTTTTTTTTTTTTTTTTTTTTTTTTTTTTTTTAATTATCGTAACTCCTACCTTTAAAATAATAATAATAATAATAACATTCATGTTAATATTTTTTTTCCAATTTTTTAAATTAATTTACAACTACATTAAGGATCCGCTTGAAAAGCAGAACAATGATTTGTGAAAAGTGTTTTTTAAAAAATGACTCATTTTTTGAAAAATATTTTTCTTTCCAGGCAACTTGAGTGTTGGCGAAAAATGATTTACGCCAAAATTTGGCGTAAGTCTTTCCGCAAAAATGCCTACAAATTCCCTACGAAAAATGTTTTCCGTTAACTGAATTTTCCTACTGCACCCAAACACTGAAAACTCGAAAAAACATTCTCCAAAAGTAATTTTTCGGATTTCCAAACGGACTCTAAGTCATAACAACATGTTCATTAAGTTACAACTATAGGTTCATTAAGCCATTATAAAGTCTATAGGTTCACTAAGTCACTTCTTACTGCTTAGGGTTTATTATTTATGATTTAAGTTTAAATTTTAGTTTTTTTTTTCTTTTTAAAAGTTATGAAGAAATGCATTGTCTATTGTTAAAAAGTACAATGTATATTGTTAAAAGTTGCACAATAAAATTGACAATAATGTCACCACACTTTTTTAAGTTGTCAATAATTACAATAATGTCACTACGTTTTTTTTTTTAAATCTGATTTGATCCGTTCAATTTTTACATATGTAAGCTAGAATTAGTTCTTATTTTTCTCCCGAAAATAATGGCCCTGTTCATTTTTTACTTGATTTTTCATTCACCAGATCTTGTAGATCAATGGTTTGGATATGTCCGCAAGTTCTCATGAGAGTGATTCTCATATGATTAAGATTATATATATATGTGTGTATATTTTAATTAATTAATTAATTATTTTGATTTCTGTTAACAAAGAAAATGTTAAATAAAATATATTAATATTCAACATTCCGATTACATGTCTAGTATCAATGCGGTGTGGGTACAAGTCTCTGAATGGTCATCTGATTCTTCAAATTGGATAGTTGAACACTCCACCATTGAAGGGCCTCCGAGTTTCAAGTGGCTTAATCTTCCAAGAAGGGCTTGTATATATAGCGTGTTCTTCTTGAAGGGCCTCCGGGTTGATGTTCTTCTTGAAGGGCCTCCGGGTTCAAATGGCTTGATCTTCAATAGAGGTTTGGATCAACATGCATCAACATATGAAGGAAGAGGGACTTTTGCTTTCAGGATCACATTTTTATTGTGATCTCAAAGTTCTTTCTATGATTTTTCTTAGGATATTACATAGAAATGAAAGACCCTATTTATAGTTGTAGGATAGAAGAGTTTTGATAGGTTCAAACTATTTTGATATTATCTAATTAACAAATTAGATAATATCAATATTATCCAAAATATTTTAAATATATTCAAAGATACTAATATTAATAAATAATCAATATTTATCAAAATTTAAGTGTGTACAATTTCAATTTATTTTTATTACCAAATACAGAGAGTGGTTTTACTTAAATTTATTTTAATTATTAAGTATATGATTTCAATTACCATTTTGATGAACAAATGCCTTGAAACATGTAGAAATGTACCTTATATTATTGTTAAAATATTTCTTATTCCGGGATTACCGGATTACCAAACCATTTTTCTGCAACAAGTAATCAAGTAAATAAAAAATGAAAATATAGTGCTGTAAATTTCATTTCAATTTCTCAAAAAAAAAAAAAAAACGTTTATTTCAATTTCAGGCAGTGCTGGAGGCTGCGCTAGAAAACAAACCCCGTGTGCCTGCGCTAGCAAACAAACCCCCGTCCCCATACTCCATTACTCCATACAATACTCGTACATATATATATATATATATGTATATATGTGTGTATGCGTGTGTGTATATACAGACAATTATACACGCATGCATAATATATATATCGCCGGAGTAGACAAGATGCCAGAATTTGAACATTCATATCTATCTTATCTCCATCTATATATGCGATTACATATATAGCATTGGAGGAATTGTATATACTGATATACATACTTAAGTATAGTGCGGTTGATTTCATATATATAAATATATATATTGTTTAGGAAGAGAGGAGAGGAAGTGATTGGAGATGGATGCGGCGGCGGCAGTGAGTGAGTTGAGGGAGACGTTCGCTGCCGGGAAGACGAAGAGTTACGAGTGGAGAGTGTCGCAACTGAAAGCTGTGTTGAAGATCGCCGAACATCACGAGAAGGCGATCATGGACGCCCTTTTCTCTGACCTCTCCAAACCAGAGCTCGAATCCTTCGTTCATGAGGTCCTTTTTTTGTTTTTATTTTTATTTTTAATGATAAATACTCCGTATAAAATTACGTGTTACAATATAATTTTAATATTAGAAGAGGAATTTAACTTAAATTTAGTTTCTACCAAAATCGTCTATAATTTTTGTGATTGCAACTAGTTATGGTCAACTTTTTCATAGTATAGTCTGATTAAAAAGAAATTTCAATTCAGTGTTTACTGCTAAAATCCAGAGAAGAAGCTAATTTATATATCATTTTTATAGACTCCTTTTTCTTTTAGTTATTTATTATTTTAAAGTTTGTTCCCTTTCTATATTCTGTGTTCTTAGTTTTCATATGTGTTAGATTTGCAGAATTTACCACTTTTCTCAGGGGTAGAGAGGCAGTGGTTGGGGGGGGGGGGGGTTGAAGTCATCGACTTATGATAAATGAACTAGGATCGGTAGTCTCTTCTTACTTTAACCAGAACCATTTTAAAAAAACTTATTTATATTCATTTGTTTGTTTATTTTATTTTTTTGGACTGTCAAGTTATCAACCTAACATTAATGAATTTGTAGGCAGAGTAGGTTGACCTGCCTGTTGTTCTTACTTTAACAATGATTCAATTTAATTTTTCATTTTATTTTAATCTTTTGTTTCTAATAGTTCGTGGCCTTGAGATTTTTTTTTTTTTTAATACCAAATATACATCATGTTGGTTGTTGAGGCTGTAGTTCATAGCCAAGTAGCATTGATAAACAGAATTCTCACATTGAATTTTTGTTTCACTCCATAAAAGAGTGCAATGTATAAATCCTGTTTTTATAGCAACGTTACCATCCTTATGCTCAATACTACAAGCAATCTGGAGCAAAGTTGTTTTTGTTTTATGAGTGGTTTTCTGGAATTTTCACACAAGGATTTGGTTCTGCTATCTTCATTTTCCCGTAACTGGAAATTCAGTATGTTGCTTATTCTTGACATTTAGGAATTTCTTTGTGGTTTTGTCCAGTTAAGGTTGTTAGCATTTAATGCCTACCTTGGTTGTTTTCTTCTTTAATCAATTGGACAAAAGCACATCATGTGGTTGATATGGGGGACCCGAATACCAACTTTAGGGATTGATTGCTTTGATTCAATTGCAAAAAGTTCAATTCTGCATTTGATATGCTTAAATGTAGAGCATAAAAGGGAAAAATAATCTACAATATGCATGCATATATTGTGGTCTTTGTAGAATGAGATGTCTAATAAGTGGCAAAGAGTTCATGAAAATGCTAGATGTGTAAAAAGTTTAGACCAAATGCTCCAAAATCATACTCACTTAAAAGGTAATAATTTGAATTGCTAAAACCATTACATTGACATATTTATGATACAGTTCAAATTCAAATAGATTATTATGTTTAGATTGCAATTTTGCTGACATTTAGGAGACACTTATTCTGCTTTTCATCAGATTCCCATTCCTTTGACACCAGTAAAATATTATTGTGAGTTTCTTTTGACAGGGCTACTGTAAAAAATATTTCACGTGCATTAAATGAATTTAAAATTTTCAATGCAATAGTGCTTTATTATATCCTATTTGTTTCAGTGAAAACTAATGAACAATTGCACTAATAAAGAATGAATGGAACAAGGAAGAGAACATTTTTTTTTTATTGTACAATTTTATCTATTTATTAGGAATTTCTGTTAGCGATATAGTCAGTCTTTTACTGTCCTACCTCTTTTTTTAGTATTCATGACTTGTTCATAAATCTTGCAGATTGCATTTGTCAAAGCATCATGTAAGTTGGCGTTGAAGGAACTAAAACGTTGGATGAAACCTGAAAATGTAATTTCTATGAAAGCTTAATTTAGACAAAATTACTTAATTTTAGTGGTTTCCTATCAATATATGACCTAAATGATGCTAACATGTTGTAATTGCAGGTGAAAAGTGCATTCGCCACTTATCCTTCATCAGCTAAAATAGTTTCAGAACCCCTTGGAGTCGTATTGGTCATATCTGCCTGGAACTACCCCTTCAGTATGTGAATGCCACCAGCTTTTCTGTTTCTTTGATTAGTTTGCTCTTTCCAATTTATTTATGAATTAGACTTATTGATATTTTCTTAGTGATGAAATTATTTTTTAAACATACAACTCTGGAAATGTTTCTTTCTTCCTTAGAATTAGCTTGTATGAATTTCTTAAATGCTGTCAAAATCTGAACTTTGGTTCTTTCTCATCACATTTTCACTTTGAACCCTTCTCTGCATAGGGTTGGTTCTCAACTATTTGAGGAACTTTTATAATTTACAACTTCAGTTTTATTACTTTTTTTTTCTTTTTTTTTTTGAAAAATTACAACTTTAGTTTTATTACTTTTATAGTTGTTCCCTTGTTTGTTTGTTTTTTTAATTTTTTAAAATAATTTTTTATTATAGTTTGTGAGCCTTTGTCAACCGACTTAAATTAATGCCCTTTTGTTGATGAGCCATTGTTGCTTACATTTGACCAATTTTGGTATATGCTAGCCATACTACTGATAATTTGACACAGAGTAACCCTGACCTTTTCACTTTCTTTAATTTTCTTTCTTCAGTGTTGTCTTTGGATCCGGTGATTGGAGCAATTGCTGCTGGTAATGCTGTAGTTTTGAAACCATCAGAAATTGCCCCAGCCACATCTTCATTGCTTGCCAAACTGTTCAATGACTATATGGATACCACTGCAGTAAAGGTTATTGAGGGATCTGTTCCCGAGACCACTGCTTTACTGGAGCAAAAATGGGATAAAATATTTTACACAGGTGCGAAGTGCTCTATCATATACTTCTTATAGTAGAATATGTACATATATATATGATTGTTACTGGGACGATGGATGCTAAATCCCTCAACCATCCCCCCTCCAAAATAAGAAATAAAACACACACACACACACACACAAAGCAGAGGCCTCAGTTCTTTATTAATAGAGTAATTTTTCTTGATAAAGGTTCTACAGAAGTACATTCAATCTGTCTTTTCTTTTTTCACCTCTATAATTACATTCTCAAGAATGGTCATATTTTCTAAAATAAAACTGTACTTTTTTTAAAAATTATTTCTACAATATTACCTGTTTAAGTGTATCCGTTGGCTTCAATAGGCATAATCCAAAAGATGAGAAATAGAAAAATAAACATGTATGTTAACCTGATGGTTCCCAACTTCCCATTCCAACACATTAACACCTTAAAGTATTTTTTTTTTTTTTTTTGAAAGGCACACCTTAAAGTATTTGTAAGCAGAAATGCTACTTTAGGATTACTAGTCTTCTGATACGGAAGCATGAATATATGTATGTAAACCAATCACATTACAGGTCCTCTTAATGTTTGGAAGCATAGTATAAAATCTGGAGTTCTGTATTGATTCATATTGATATTATTGACACCCTTAGCAACACCCCTCTCTCCAACCAAGGGGAAAAGAAAAAGGCCGCCCTCTCTATCATAGAAAAATTTTGATGGATCACCAGGTCTCATTCCAATTAGTATGTAATGTTTTAGTTTACTTTTCTTGGTGTTCTCTAGAAATTCATTTAGAGAAGGAATGAAAAAAAAATAAAAATTATTCCCAGTTTCTCTTCTCTCATACCGTTCTCTTGATAGTGCATGAGTGTGTGTCTATCTGTGCATCCAGGCAAGTACAAGTTTAGTTTTATCTCAGCAGATAATGCTATAAGTAGTAAAATGTTGAGTTTGTGAGGTTAACAATGAGGCATCAGATTTGAGATGCTTACTAGCTAGCTGCTGAATGTATTACATGTCAAAATCAGAAGCTAGAAGAAGTTGAAGATGAAAGAAGAAAGAAATTAACTGGTTTCATTATTCTGAAGTAAATTCCTTATTGCACCAGCTAACCAGCCTATTTATAGAGAAGTGATAAATCTGGAAAGCTAACTACTCCTCCAGCTGGACATCTGTTAGGCTGGCTTGTCAAGCTGGCAGCTGACTAGACTTCATCTGCTGACATTACATTCCTACCTTATATTAACCTTATCAGTGTTTATCCAGCTGCTGAATATGCCTTTCATTCCTACGTTTGATTAACCTTACCTTACCAGTGTCAAACCATTGTTCAGTTTCTGCATTCCAAATATTCAGCTTTTCTCTGAAGAATGGTTAAGAGAAGGGATGCCAAAAAGTTCATTGATGAGCTTAATAAATTCATATTTAGTGGATGAGTGTGCATTGCAGTTTCTTCTTACACAATATGGTTTCAGTTGTGCTAAAAATTGTTTTTTTTTTCTTTTTTTTTTCCCCCTTGAATTAAAGATGCGTTCCTAAAAAACATGTTTGTTGTGTATGCACTATGATGTATTGTGGAAGCTTGGCTGCATATAAATTAAGAATGCATTTTTAATGATGGTAGTGAGTCTCATTTTGATGTTATTCACTTATTCATATTGTTGTTGGTTTCCCTTATTTGAATAATGGTTGCTTGTGGAGGGTTATCCAATTATATCAAGAAAGAAAGTTTGAGGGAAAAGTGAGAATGGCCTAGATCTTTTTACAGGGCTTATATCTTCAAATTATCAATTCTTTCTGATTTTAATCCAACAAATTATCTTGTAGGAAATGGAAAAGTTGGGCGCATTGTCATGGCAGCCGCTGCAAAACACCTAACTCCTGTGGTTTTGGAGCTTGGTGGAAAATGTCCCGTAGTTGTGGATTCAAACATTAATTTAAAAGTGATAATAAAAATTCTTTTAAGAAAATATCATACATTCTTATTGCAAAATATCATCCTTTGTCCTTTCATGTTTTTGAAATGTATTTTATCCCTGTCTAAATCAATTTTAACTCATTTTGTAGGTTGCAACAAGGAGGATTATTGCAGGCAAGTGGGGCTGCAACAGTGGACAAGCTTGTATTGCCCCTGATTACATCATTACTACAAAAGAGAATGCACTACAGTTGGTGAGGTTTATCTTTAAAACATCTAATTTCTTGTGGATTTTTAATCATTTCACTAAAAATTGCTTGTTATAAATTAATTATAATTGGAAATTTGTTTTGTTGCAATTCCTTTCTGCTACAGCTTGATGCCATGAAAGTAGAACTAGATAAATTCTATGGAAAGGACCCATTATGTTCAAAAGATCTGTCTCGCATTGTAAATTCCAATCACTTCTCCCGCTTAACAAAGTTACTAGATGATGATAAGGTTTCAGGTAAGATAGTCCATGGAGGTGAACGAGATGAAAAGAGACTGTAAGTTCCAGCATACATTGTTCTCGACTTTCACCTATTGGACGTGTTATCCGTGATATTTATCTCCGTTCTCCAATGACAGAAAGATTGCTCCTACCATTTTGATGGATGTGCCAGAAGACGCCCTAATCATGAAAGAGGAAATATTTGGTCCTCTACTTCCTATTCTCACAGTAAGACCTACCCTAACTCTATGTATGATCAAGCCCAGATTGCTCTATGAAAGATGTTGAAAATTGAAATTAGTAGAGCCCAGGAATGAAGTCACGGTTATTTTCCTTTTTTCTTTTCTGAAGGTCAATAAAGTGGAGGACGGTATAAAAATCATTAACGCTAGAGACAAGCCACTTGCAGCATATCTGTTCACAAGCAACAAAAAACTGGAGCAGGAGTTTGTTACAAATTTATCAGCTGGGGGCTTGCTTATTAATGACACAGCTTTGCATGTAATGATTCATTCCTCTACATAGACAACCATGCACTATAGCTCTTGAGTCAAAACATGCAGTTCAATAGGCACTATTTGTAAGAAGAGATCAAATGCCCAAAGTGGGCAGATCCCTTGTGGCACTAGCATTTAGCCTTGTCTATTGAGCCAGTGTGGGGATTATGTCCAAAGTGGGCAGATCCCTTGTAGCACCAGCATTTGTCCATGCCTGCTGAGCCAGTGTGGGGATTATGTCCAAAGTGGGCAGATCCCTTGTAGCACCTGTCTGGTGAGCCATTGAGTCACCGTGATTTACATTATCCCAAGTGCTCTATTGAGTCGAGATGTAAGGACCCTTGGGGTTAGGAATTCAACCTTGTTGGGTGAAGTCAAAACATGCAGAGATGATTTTAATGTTATGATGATAAGTAGTGGAATTAAGGTGTGAAATCAGTGGTTGATAGGGTCCAATTTGATGATGCAGGTTGCAGTCCACACGCTGCCGTTTGGAGGAGTAGGAGAAAGCGGAACAGGTTCATACCATGGCAAATTCTCGTTTGAAGCTTTCAGCCACAAGAAGGCAGTCCTGAAACGTAGTTTTGGTGGAGATTTGGGTGCAAGATACCCACCCTATACACCTAAGAAGGCACGACTTCTGAGAGCACTAATGAGTGGAAATCTGATTTTCATAATTCGCGCATTACTTGGCTTGTAAATATATGTTGTTTATATTTGGGACCCCCAAATTGTTGAAACTTGAATAATTGTTGTTTGTCCATATTGTGATATTGTTGAATGCATGTGAACTTAAGACATTGAAAGTTTAGTGGTATATTTGATTTAATTTTTTTTTTTTTAAGAAAGCAAACATTTAATTTATTAAATAAGCGTTTAAAACATCAACAAAAAATAAAAAAAAAAGAGTGAAAGATCATGTCATTATTCGTAATCTGACACAGAAATGATTTCTCTTATCCCAACTATAAATAGCCTGATTCACAAATCGCTTAACAAATTGAAAATTAACATCAATAAATTAACTGTAACTTCTTTAACATCCTCTGGCACCAAACGAGTATAAGGAAGGGACAACTAAGATGACATGATAGACTAGTTGCTCATCCATCTTGACCTTAAAGTGATCCATCCCCAACTCCTTTAACCAACTAAGAGCATCCACATCAGTGGATATTATGGAGATAATGTCAGATGAATTATCTTGGGTGGGGATAATAACAAATGTGGGGTGGGGTTATTTATCAAAATATTTGTTCTGCAAAATTGGGGAGAATGGCAGGAAAAGAAGAAAGAGGAAGAAAAGAAGTGGATATTATGGAGATAATGTCAGATGAATTATCTTGGGTGGGGATAATAACAAATGTGGGGTGGGGTTATTTATCAAAATATTTGTTCTGCAAAATTGGGGAGAATGGCAGGAAAAGAAGAAAGAGGAAGAAAAGAAAAGGGGGTTGCTGTGCGCGTTTTGCGCACAGCAACCAGCCCACACGGGCGCGTTCGGCGCGCCTGACCCTTCAGTTTTTTTATTTTTTTTTTGCTTTTTAATTTTAGATTTTGATTTTTTTGTTTTATTTTCCTCCCCTTCCCACATTCTCTCTCCTAATCACTCTTACATTATCCCCCAATTCTCCCCAACCATTGTGGATGCTCTAAGAGCATCCACATCAGTGGATATTATGGAGATAATGTCAGATGAATTATCTTGGGTGGGGATAATAACAAATGTGGGGTGAGGTTATTTATCAAAATATTTGTTCTGCAAAATTGAGAAGAATGCAGAAAAAGAAGAAAAGGAAAGAGAAGAAAAAGGAGGCTGCTGTGCGCGTTTCGCGCACAGCAGCCTCCCACACGGGCGCGTGCGTGCCTCCGTGGGCGCGTCAGGCGCGCCGAACGGCAGGCCTGACCCTTTACTTTTTTATTTTTTATTTTTTGTTTTTTAATTTTTGATTTTGATTTTTTTATTTTTTTTTCCTCCCCTCCCCACATTCTCTCTCCTAATCACTCTTACATTATCTCCCAATTCTCCCCAACCATTGTGGATGCTCTAAGGACTTCCTACACCCCACCACTTCAGCTTCTTTTGGCGTAAGCACACCTTCCATAACAACCTTAGCAGTGTCTGGCAACTTTGCAAACACATTCTGTGTATACAAGTTGCTGCTGAGGAGCTTTTGTTGCATACCAGAGTTATTTGTAATATATATATATATATATATATATATATATATATATTTAGTGGTTGCACCCTTAACAATTTTTTTTTAATCATCTCAACATTCTTGTTTTTTTAATCATTCGCCATATACTATGTAAGTTGTAAAATAACAGTCTATTTTATTTTTAAATATAAAAATTCTGTTTTTTTTTTTTAAAAACTTCGAATTATTTTATCCCAAAATAACATCGTCTATCGGACTCCATGCATTTCACACCAACTCAAAAAATACATTGAAATATATTCAATATACTGTTACTTTTTTTTTTTTTTTTTTTTTTTTTTTTTCCGTAATTGGGTCGAAATGCTAACACGAATAAATCAATTGAGAAAATAGTCAAATACACCTCCGAACTTTACTTGAGAAGTCAATTAAGCCCCCGAACTTTAATTTTAAAAGTTACAATTAAGTACATAAACATGTTGATTTAGTGCTCAGTCCCTAGCACTAGGTCACTAGGTTGTCTGGACATGTTCCGATGATGAAAACCGACGACGCCGACCAGCACGTCACCGGAGAAAGGTTGGCCGCCATCTCCAAGGGACAGAGAAGGCTACTAGTTTGGTACCTAAATCAACATGTTTATGCACCTAATTGTAACTTTCAAAAGTTCAGAGACTTAATTAACTTCTCAAGTAAAATTTGGGGGTGTATTTGACCATTTTCCAATTCAATTTTAATACGTGACTAACTTTGCATAAATAAAAATTGTCAACACATTTATAGAGTGACCATCGCATGGTTGAATAAGATCCCATCCAAACTGTCTGCATGGGCAGCTCAATTGGTCATAGAGGTGAAAGTTGGAAAGAAAGAATATGTTGTGCTATCTACAGTATAGAAATTATGATGCACACCTTGCATGGTGCACACGGTTGCACAAACATAACGCTCTGGAAAGAAGATCCCATCCAAACTAAACGATGCAAAACTTCAGCATCACTTTTAATTGATATTTGTCAAGTCTTAACCATTCACATTATCACGAACAATATCCCATCGACACTAAATAATGCAAAACTCCAACATCACTTGTAATTGATTTTTGTCACATTATCACCTGCATAATACAAGACACTCAAGTTCCACTTGCGTTTTTAGTAGCCGGACAATACTCATTGGCGACGTAGGAGACATGCAAGTCAGACATGTGTTTCTCGTATTATATGAAAGACATACATGTCATATTTGCATTTTCTGTATACATTTTGACAACGTTTACCATATTTATTTTAAACAACTAAAGTGCGAATTGCGCTTTTTACAATAAACTCAAATCGCAAAATGAGTTTTTCAAACGTTTATCATTCTTGTCTCTTGTTCAATAAAATCTCCCATTTCAGTAGAAAAAACTCTTACAATTTAGATGTCCATTTACATGGTCTACTTATGTGAGGGTCAATTTGACCCTACATAACTGTGTGGACTGCGGTCTAAAACGACACCGTTTCCTCATTTAAGAAGAGACATCGCGATTAATTGCGCGACGTGAGTTGCACTATTATTATTATTATTATTATTATTATTATTATTATTATTATTATTATTATTATCACAACCTGCATTTTCTCTCCATTGCTTCTTCCCTAACTCCATTGTTGCAACATACATTTTTATAACTCATAAAATATATTATTCTAAAGCATAAATAATATTATTCTAATTCATAAAATAAATTATCTTACCCCAAAATATTTATTGTTTAAACACATAAACGATTAGTTATTGACAATTCTTTTTAAACGTTAAAATAATGTAATTTTAGACCGTGATCCATACAATAATTTACCTTTCACCCTTATGGCTTATCTTGACAAAAATAATATTCCGTAATAATCCGTATAAGGCAAAAGGTAAAGAATTAGCCTATTCGGATTTCGGAGTTGGGACCAGAATGAAATTGGCGCCAATAACTTGACCCGACGTCAGAATCCGGATTCTATTAAACTTCCCTCTCCGTGTTCCGACTTCAATTGTAAAATCCCTAGCTAGGGTTCATCATTCATGCTGTAGAAAGGCATCCTGCATTCCTGCCCAGTTCGTACCTATTTTATACTAATTGCTACTCGGAACACTATATACATATAGCAGGTGAAATGGCGGAGGTGATCTCAGTTATGGACATTGACGATGACCAAAACGAGGGCAACATCAGTTCAAAGCTCAACAAGGGGAAAAACATCGCCACCAAAGCCACGCCTTGGGTTGAAAAGTATCGTCCTCAGTCCCTCTCCGACGTCGCTGCCCATAAGGACATTGTCGAAACCAGTAATATTATTCACTTTCTCTCCATATCCGTTTGTGTGTGTGTGTGACTAAGTCTTGCATTTTATCGAGCAGTTTGAGTGCTTGAACTGAGGCTAATGTTGGCTAATGTGATGAAAAGTTGACAGGCTTGCGAGTAGCAACAGGCTACCGCATCTGCTGCTGTATGGGCCTCCCGGAACTGGGAAGACCTCCACAATTCTTGCCATGGCTCGGAAGCTTTACGGAGCGCAGATGCAAAATATGGTTTTAGAGTTGAATGCTTCTGATGATCGTGGGATTGATGTTGTAAGGCAGCAGATTCAGGACTTTGCTAGTACTCAAAGCATCTCCTTTGGGTAATTCTCTCCTATAGAGATTGTATTTGAGAACTGAAGGGGTGACAATGAGTGGAAGGATGCATACAGACTCATTTATATCTATTTTCTCATTATGCTTTTCTTAGCCCCAAAAAGTTTTTCCTTTACTTCAAAGTCCTCCAAAACTATTGTCTTTTTGGCAGTGCGAAGTTTGCTGTGAAGTTAGTGCTGTTGGATGAGTCAGATGCCATGACAAAGGATGCACAGTTTGCTCTGCGTCGAGGCAAGACGTTCATTGTTTATCTCATGCATTAATTTGAATTCACACACTTTTTTTTTTTCTTGGAACTGGTATATCTAACTCATATCTTTTGCAGTAATTGAGAAATACACAAGACATACTCGGTTTGCACTGATTTGCAACAATGTCAACAAGGTGATCCCTGCATTACAATCACGGTGTACACGGTTCCGGTTTCCACCTCTTGAGGCTGTTCATGTAACTGAGAGGCTTAAACATGTTATTGAATTGGAAAGGTGGGTTTGACAGTATCTTCGACTGACACCTGTGCTGGGTTTCTTCCTAGTCCATGAATTTTTTGAGAAACTTTGTATTGGAGTGCTTCTTTTCCTTGGGGTAACATCATAATTTGAAAGGGGAATGATCCCATTGATTTCTTGACTAAGCCAATGTTTTATCTTTTCATGTCCAAGAATTGTCACAGCCTCTGTTGACATTCTCATTGGTGTGTGGTCCACACTGTTTGAGCATAAATACACCAATCAGTTAGGACATAAATATTTCCACTAATGTATTATTAGATTCATGCGGTAATTGCAGTCAGGCCCTTTTGCAATATGACCAAGTAATTAGTTCTTCCCATCAAGATGAATTGGTTGCACAAACAGTCATCCCATTTCCATCTTTGCCTTCATTCAGTGCAGCTTTTAAGTTTTGTTCATCCTTTCCTCTTCCCCTTTTCAATTCTCTATTTTTCCCTCCAGTGATCTGGTATGTCCAACAAGCAATTGTGAAACACTTGCTGAGAGCTGATTTTACTTAGTCTCTCAAGATCTTTCTAACAATTTTGCTTGGTTGCAGACTTGATGTACCAGAGAGTGGCTTGAAGGCACTGGTGCAGCTTAGCAATGGTGACATGAGAAAGGCTTTGAACATTTTGCAGGTTATCTCCATTTAGCCTTTCCTTGCATTTCTAATTGTCAGTTCTGGATCATCTAGAGGAATATGGATCTCCAATATGAGAATAATTAAATTTTGTTTCCTATTTTGGTATAATGGTTGATCTTTTCCTCTTCATCCTCCCTTAAGATCATTAGAAAAATTTCCAATGGGTTTGTAGATAATAACATGCTTTTGTACATAACTGTGCAATGAAATGCATGGTTTATAGACTGTGTGCTTCTGAATGCCTTTATTCTTGGCATGTATTTGGACTAGATGGGACTGGATAATTAGATCAATGCATAATTTGCTAATGTTAGCTACTGCTTGTTGATTAGACATGGTTTCTTATCATGTCTCACCCTCCCAATAGCTGCCTAATTGAAGTTCAGAACACTGATAAAGATTCTATGGAGTACACCTATTCTGTGTTTTATACTTTGAGATAATACTCACCCTCCCACTTTTCTATGAAATATATATCAGTATTATTCTCTCTGAAAATCTGAGATATCGACATGTAGCCTTGAAAGTTTTTCCTTTGGTACCTTTTTTATTCCAAGTGCTGTATGTCTCTCCATTTCCAAAATTTGTCTGTCTGTTTGTTTGTTTGTTTCTAATTTTAATTATTTTTGAATCATAAATCCCCTTCTAAAAGTGGACTTAGGTTTATGAAATTTTGTTTATGCACTTTGTGCAGTTTTTAATGATGTGGTAGTTCATCCATTTATATTTTGGCAAACAAATTCATTTGTGTTATCAATAATGTGCCTAACAAAGAAAGTAAGATACTCATTGTGATTAGATTTATCTATTTCCTATTATCTTGTCTGATCTGTGTTTATTGTGAATCACGTTACCGCTTTGTGACTTGCATTCTTAATTTTCAGTTCACTTTCTACAGTTCCAATGATCTTGTGTCATCTGTGTGTCACTACATTGTAATTTGGGTTCTTCATTTTCTTTTTTTGCTTTATGCAGTCAACGCATATGGCCTCTCAGCAGATAACAGAAGAGGCTGTCTATTTATGCACTGGGCATCCATTGCCCAAAGACATAGAGCAAATCTCATACTGGCTTCTAAATGAGCCCTTTGCTGTCGGTTATAAACGTATCCAAAATGTTATTATTAGTGTGTGCATGCTTTTACTTTTTCACTGTTTTACCTTTGTTTTTGTGGCCCTTAGCTATGACTAGGAATATTGGAAACTAAAACAAGGAAAGGATTGGCTTTGGTAGATATTGTAAGAGAAGTGACCATGTAAGTTCTTATCATCTTTTTACTATTCTTCTACCATAAATTTGCTTGAGCTCACTTTGGCACATCTAAACACCAGGTTTGTCTTCAAGATAAAGATGCCATCGGATGTGCGTATTCAGCTTATAAATGCTATGGCTGAAATTGAGTATGTATTCCATCTCATTATCTTATAATTTATGTCAAGTTGTTCAAGATTTTACAATATGAATCTTCCAATATTTACTTTACTCATCAAAGAGGTGTGTGCTGCAAACTTGGACAAAGTCCCCAAGTTAATTGTAAAAAACGTGCCAGTACTACCAACTAGAGTTTTTAGTTAAGTGGATCAATTTTGGGCCCTTATGTTTACCTGTCATTTTCATGCATGTGTATGCGGCAAATGGCGATTATAATCAGAAAACTATATTTGTGGTTCAAAATTCAAATTGTATTGCATTTTAGTAGGTCATATTTAAAAATCAAATAAAAATCTTTAGTAAATTTCGTATTTCATCCTAAAGTATTAAACTAAGTTTCAATTTAGTCCCAAGTGTTTAATATTTTGAATTCCATGAAGAATATATGACATTGGTTTCAATACTTAGTTCAGTTCCTTCACCAATTTAAACACATTTAGCATGAACAAGTGCGATTGAAGCCAATGTTATACAATCGTGATGAAATTTAGACCAAAAAAATTCGAACCAAATTCAAACTTAAATTTCTAGGACCAAAAATGAAGTTGCTCTGAGAATATATAATTCTAACGTAGGACATATAGAATGCAGCTTCTCAGTTCTAAATATTTTCAAGGAAATTTTTATTTGAATAAGAAATAGTTGTCCATAATCTTCTGACTAATGTGGTAGCCAAATCTATAATTATATACTTTATTCTAACCTGAACTTTTTTTCTCTATATTATGTAATTTATTGTCCTGAATTTAATTTTAAAAGAATATATCAAGGAAAATTATTACTTTTTACTAATTCACAACAATTAAAACCAAAAGAAAAAGCAATTGCATGCCCTTATGTTAAATTTATTGACCCTTCTTTGTTTACCATAATGTTGATGGGGGTTAGTTTGTAATATTTGAGAATAAGGGGGCTTATATAGAACGTAACAGTAGAGGCTTCTCACAATAATTGACTGCACTTCACTGTTCTAAGAGTGGAATCGCCTCTGGATACTATCATCAGATCTTGGGGAATATGAATGGTTAAGAAATAGGTGCTAGCTTTAGAACTGCAGGTGAGCTGATGTTGGAAGATTTTAGATTCCTGTTTAATTATTGGCTAATAATACTTTAATTTAGAAGAATATGAATTTTCCTTATTTTCTGACCTTGCAGACTGTTTACCTTTACTATTTTAACCATTAAGCAAAAGAAAATATAGGACTGGAGAAGAGAAGAATAAACAGGCTTGTTGAAGTGGACTTCTAGTGAAAAATATTCCAAAACCTTTACTAAAAAAATTGGGGAAAGGCTAGGCATCTTGCCCTTGATGCTACTCCCTCTGATTCCTTTTCTTGCCTTTGTGATTGTAACCCCACAATAGACCCTAGGTGCTCATCTCAAATTGCTGCCTTTATTAGTGGATTTCTTTCTTTTTGTTTTTCATTGCTTTTGGTTTTCGATTTCAGCAGCTTCTCTTGTTTCCCTTCTTTGATTTCCTTTTCGTTATTTTTCTCTTCTGGATTCTGTGCCTTCTATTGTTTCTGTTCTTTGATATTGTTATTTGTGTCAGCATTCTAAACAGCAGTATACTTCGTTTGCTTGCAGATATAGGTTGACCTTCGGTTGCAATGATAAGTTGCAGCTTGGATCATTGATAGCCGCTTTTACGCAAGCACGGTCTGCTCTGGTTGCTGCTGCAAAGTAGCCACACAATGGTTTTGTAACATAGTTTCTATTTTGTCATTGCTCTGTTCTATTGACTGGGGAGTGTTGGATGTTTTGAGAATGCTAATTTAGTATCATGGGTAATGTTTTTAGTGTAAACTTCTCTCCCAAACGGTTGAATCCCCAACCTCAAGGGCCCCACACCCCGACCCGATAGAGCAATTGAGAGGATCTGAACACTTAAGCTTACTCGTAATTGCCTAATAGGGATAATGTATTAGCTCTGTCTTAATAGTCAAAATTAAAGGAAAATCATAGATGCTAGAGGACATGATGTCCCCTGGAATAGGTGGTTGAATATTACTCCATCCGTCGCATTTTGTGCCTGATTTAGTTAACGAGGTTTGACTGAAATTATTTTTAACTAAAATTTTTATAATGTTAAGTTTAATATTAGTATATATAAATTTAGAAATTATATTAAAAATATTATTAAATGTAAAAATCAAATTTAAAAATAATTATGAAATACTAAAGAAAATAAATAAGGAAGAAATAGTTGTTTTGATCAATGAATAGTAATATGATAGGTAAAATGAGATTGATGGAGTAGTAATTCTTCTGTCTCTGTTGAATTTTCACCCCGACACTTCTCCAAGTAAATGACAGAATTTTTAATATTAAAGTAAAAGAAAAATGCAATTTCAATTTCACAACAAAATTTTTTAAAATTTTCATGCAAATAAGAATAAAAAATACATAAATGTCAGCATATATCCAAGTTGCAGATTTAACTGAGTAGTCCTACACTCCTACATGGCTCAAAATTATCCACATAGCCAAAGAGATGAGAACAAAGGCGTGGAGATATACCAAATCAAATCAATTCAATATAATACATATGTGCATGCTTGTGTGTCCATACAATATGCACACGCATTACTATTAATCTATTATGAAGTCATTTATGAGGCGTGTGTGTATATATACATATAGATATTGGTTCAAATGAGGATAAGATTTTTCAGACAGTCGGTGCAAATTGCACTATTAGGTATGCATAAATGCATCACAAAATATTTCGAAATGCATCAAAATGAAATTCATAAATGCACCACAAAATGCACTACACACCAAAAAATTGCACCACACATAATGCTGCATTTTCGAATACTTTGTGGTGCGTGACTGCACAGCCGCACGAGAAACACTGTTCGTACAAGAACCTCACACACACACACACACACACACACACACACACACACACATATATATATATATATATATATATATATATATATATATATATATATAAGGAGGGTATTCTTCATTCCAGTCTTATTGTTTTGATATGAAATAGAAGTTTCTTTCATGATAAAAGTATTAAAAACAACACGAAGACCAATTATATGAACATTCATTTAGGAGGTATATTATTTTGTTTTTATTTTTTACCTTAACTATTGTACCAATATCTGTATTCTATGAGATAAAACAAATCCAATTAATTTTTATTAGACAATATTCAAAAATAACTCTTATAAATATATTATTGTATCCACATTAGTTCAAATTCTTAACTTCATTTTTATCTTATTTTTCAAATAGGATAAATTGGATAGCTCCATATTAATTATCCTATCCTAGCCTTGTCAAATCATTACATCAAATATCTCTACACATTAAAAAAAAATGTGTTTCAACAAAGAGTTCAGCTAACCTATGCCGCCCACAAAACAAGAAAACATAATTGTAGACTGCAACATCATTAGTCATTACATCAACTTGATAGATAGATAAATTAATTAAATAATTGCTCACAAATTACTAATCAATATGTTAATTTTGAAATGACAACTCTAAGCTCGTAATCATTTGTTTGATACAGGATTTGTTCCGTACACAAGATTATTTCGTAGTAAACCTAGAAATTAATATACATGCTAATTACAAGTATTTTTTTTTTAATTTTTTTATTTGCCAAACATAAAATTGTGCTTCATAGGGTTTCAAGTTTATGCCCTTCACACTTTATACTTCCTACTAGTATCATCGTTTTGTCATATATATCGTTTTTATGTTGTCATTATCATTTCTTTGGGTCTTATTATTTGAATGATTTATACTAATTTATGAGTTTTATTACATGGACTCCTAAATTTTACTCTATAATTTGACAGACATTGATAAAATATTTTTTTTTCTTCATGTGGGTCCCAATATAAGAGTATCCATAGTAGTTGAATTTTTACATGATTTTTAAGAATGCCATGTAAGAAAGAGATAAAAATGGTGGAAAAGAAAAAAAAAAAAAACACTGAATATTTTTTTTTAAGTGAAGTGAAAAGCAACAAAAAAATCAGAGTGACCGCCAGTCTTACGCGCCCGCTTGGGGCGCAAAGTGCGCTCCACTTGCGCACTTCATGCCTTTTTTTAAAAAAAAAATAATAATAATTTTTGCAGGAGTAAAATCTTGAAAAAAAAAACACATGCTACATCAGTTAAAGGTAGATTTTTGTATTATGAAAAAACTGGGTAAAAATTATAAATCATAAATTTTGTATGTGGGGATAGAAAATGAGAGTTAACATAATATTTTCATTCTTCTAAAAGGCTGAACTCCAATCCGAAAGCACTCACCCCTACAACATAATATTTTTCATAATATTAGAAAAAAGTGGTGCAGCTTTAATTTCCAGCGTAGAGACTAGAGATAGAGGGGAAAAAAGTGGGAACATCACATCAGCTTGTAAGTCAAGAGTAGGCGGCTCGTTTCACTACCACAGAATGAAATTCGACAAAGAAATTTGGCACTCACAAAAACACAACAATATAATAATAATAATAATAATAATAATAATAATTAAGAATGGACTACTTATTTGGTCCCATTACCATATCCGCATGAAAATGGGTGAAAGTAATTGTAGATGCTGCCAATGACAATCGGTTTTGTCGTCGGGTTAGAGAATATTAACACTAATCTATCTTTTAATCTAATTCTTGAGGATATTTGTAATCTAGCTAAAGATTTAACTTGTATTAGTTATTAATTTGTTAAGCGATCTGCGAATAGAGTTCTCCATGAATTGGTTAGGAAATTCTTATTCAGTGTTGATGTCAGATATGTGTTTCCTTCTCCCCAATTCTCTTTTGGATGTAATTTCTTTGGACGGTTTGAACTAATACATTTTTTTTTTTTTTTACAAAAAAGTTTTCATACATTATATCAGAGTTAGTTCCAGCAATGGTCCTCCGACTATGTTGATTTTCTAAAATTAGTCCTCGACTTTTAATTTGGACACTTTAAGTCCCTTGACTTTCAATTTCTTTCCAATTGAGGTCCTTTCGTCAGAATACAGTTAATTGAACTTTAAATGAAGTGGTAAACTCGTCCTCTCACCTGTCTATGTATTATTCTTCATATTTCTCCCTTGTATACGCGATATATATGAAGATAATCTCAGTCGAAGCCCCTTCATTTAAAGTCTCTTGTATACGCGATATTCCTCGTCATTCCCCATTTGCTGATTGCTCGTGTGTGCGTTCCTCCATTATTGAGATGTTTAGTATATCAACGAAATACGAAGGGAGACATACGAAGAATAATACATAGGCAGGTGAAAGGACAAGTTTACCCCATCATTTAAATTTCAATTAACCGTATTCTGACGAAAGAACCTCAATTAAAAGTCAAGGGACCTATAGTGTCCAAATTAAAAGTCAGGAACTAATTTTGAAAAATCAATATAGTCGGATGACCATTGCTGGAATTAACTCCATTATATCATACCAATGTTTGTTTCTTTGAGGGCAAAAAAGTAAAATTGCAAAAATAATCTATTGCCCTTCACTGTGTTGTTTTTGGTGTAGATCTGGACAGGCGATGCAGCTTGGCGGTCGACGGCGACCGACATCGATAGTGACTCACCCATGCTCCACGAATCTTGTGTTTTCTATGCTATGCTTTAAATTTTTTTTTTTTTTTTTAAAAAAAACTTTTTATTTTTGTTTTTGGTAGGCGCCCTTTGTGAAATGATACTCTAGGAAGATATTCTAATTCACTTTAATATCTTTTATTATTTTTTTTATAATGATAAATAAATTATATTGTATAAAATAATTGCTTAATATATGTTAAATTAACAACAATTTTATGTTTTTTTGACCAAAAACAACAATTTTATTTTATGTAATTATAAACTAATGAAATTCTTTGTAATATTTTAAAACTTAAACATATTATATCAATATAAAAAATTACATTATAAGATTTTAAAATTTCATTTTTACATATTTATTATATAAGATATTGTGTTAACCTGGTTTGTTATTATTATTATTATTTTTAGTGATGATGGAAACTCGCATTGACTACTATACACGAGAGGTACACTAAGTAAAGCTAACTGGTTTAAATCAAGGAGACTAATAAGCCACTTCTGTTGGTAGTTAAACTTATAACCTTGTAGTTACCAAGTCAACAACCTGACCAATTTGATTGGGGTTGGCCCCAACTTAGTTAATTAATATTGGAAAAGTATCAAGTTAATAAACTTATATATAGTTGTGTAACTAGATCACTAAATTAAAAATACGTGTAATTGAACCATTAAACAAGCAAAATATGTGTAATTGAAATATTTTTGTGATTTTTTCAATGCAATTTGAGATGAAATTTTTTTAGTTTTTCATCCAAACTAACATGACAGGAAAAGAAGAATTCTTAGTACATACTATGTAATGTGATTAGAATCTATCTGAAAATTTAGTGAAAAGATGTCTGAATTATACATTTTGTTTTTTTTTTTTTTTTGTTTTGTTTTGGTTTTGGTTTTTTGTTTTGTTTTTTTTTTTTAATTTTTTTTGATAGTTCAATTACACACATTTTTAAGTTTAATAACAAAATTACATAAAAAACAATAAGTATACTAGCCTCTGCTACTTTTTCCATTAATATATGCATATACTAAACTGGCTCTCGTTCACGCAAAGTTATTGCTAGTATTTATGCTTAATTACACTAGAAAATTGAAGTTTTATTATTATTATTTTTTCCAAAGTAAAAGGTAGTTTGAAATTTTATGTATAAAAAAAAAAAGTAATTTTAAAGCAAACTTTTTTTCCAAAGTGAAAATGACATTTTTAGTTATCTAACT